AAAACCTGGCTATTATGAACCTCATACCAATATAGGCTGACTTACGACAATATTACTTTGTTAATTTTGCTAGGAAGATCTTTGTCTATTAGGTGTATTGAACCAGAAACGACCCATCATTGATACATAACAACAATTTCAGGTTAATTGTATCCTTGCTTGTACGTGATAGCCGACACAGGGTGTCCATTATTTAGTCATTAGCACGAGATAGTTTGTTAGATTGGTGTCCCGGAACGCGGTGATGGTAGACACTGACCAATCGACGCTTATTGAGACCACCGAGGCGTCAATACGTTCACAGTTCCACTACAACGTAACAACGCAATTACATTACTCTATTCCCAATAGAACTTAACAAAGGAGAATTTATAGCGCCGTCTAGAGAGTACAATTTATTACTTTTTAATTTCAACAAAGAGTATTGAATTTGTTGCGAAGTATATAATAAGTTTTCAATAGCAACCCTACGTTTTATGTACTACGGTGACTGACCTTAAGAGCAAAAATAAATTTATCTTAAACTTAAAATAGTTCTCAAACAAGCTCGCGTGGTAACACCGCATAAAACTAGGCGTAAGGACAAAAACAATTGTCTATGTACGCGCACATCTCAGTGCCAGTAAATCTGTGATCTAAATCAACTGCGTACGTGACCACGTCGTGACGGGGGGAGGACGGAAACTAGGAGAGTACTTCCCCGACCTACTCTTACGGAGATAACGGATAGTTTTCCAACGTACACTGCAAGCAAGTTCTGTTCCTCTACCATGAGATCAAAGCAAGAGTATTTGTCAATAACTCGATAGTTACTATGAAAATATTTTAATTTGTACTAGTCCTGTCAACCTGCCTGTAGTTTCTTATTCCGGACTGTAATATGTTAAAATACATTAATATTCGGTTAGAAGCTTTTTTTAACAGGAAAAAAACTCCGACCGGTTTTTAGCAACAAAAATGAGGTTCGCTGCTTTAAACACATGGTACAGGTATTATTTGCTACTACAGTACTACGTGTGATAGTTCGCTCCCAGACTGAATATATGAGATTGGAGATACCGCCTCAGCTTTTCAAAAGCCAGAAGTGAAGTGTAAAGCAAACGAGAAATGACTCCGAATTCAGTTGCACCGTTGTAATCAGATAGTGATTGTTTTTATTATTTGCAGTGAGTGGTTCGTCGGCAAGTCTTCATTGAAAAGATTTTTGAATTTTATTTTATCGTTTGAATGACAAGTCTCTTAGTGCTATATAATTTGTGTGTGTGTGACTCAAAATTTAAAGCAAAGAATCGTGGCGATTTTTTTCATGATTTTCCATAATTTTATTTAATGATAGAAAATTATTGAATCTTTCAAACTAAGCTTTAAAACAACAACAACATATTACACAATAAAACATTTCAGTATTGGTAAATATAGTTGTGCTACAACACAGTTTTGTAATATGGATCTTACCTGTCATGACGTCACCATAAACTCCATTGATAGAAAATAATGCATAAACTATTCTTTCGACTTTATTCCTTCCTCGCTAAAGGCGAGTAAGCGAGCAAGACTTCCACAGGCGCAGGTAATATAAATGTAAAATAGTGTTTCTATTGTTCAGCGAATTTATATTTCAAGTATTGAATTGAATTTAGCAATCGCTGTTATTGGTAGCACTAGTAGTAATAGTCGGAGGAAAACTTCAACTGATTTTGTTGATAAAGCTGACAGCGAAAAATTTATATGTAGTTTTCAGCACAGAATTGTATCCAAAATATGAGTCTAAGTGAGGTCTATATTGAGACATTTCTGTATAAAAGTCAACGTTACACTAACATTCATTTTTTTCATCCCGGTTTATTTGTACTCGTTTCGTTACATATTGCGTTTAATGTTTTGTTGGACTATCCTGTTGCAGGGCTGCAGAAAGAAAAAAATCCAAATTAAATATTTGTACATAATTAAATAAATGAAAACATAAATAAATACACAATTAATGTTACTTTAAAATAAAAAGAAACATGCAAAATCTCTCAAGTAACTACATATTGTAGGAAAGTCAACGCAAAAGTAGCGAACATTTCTGTCGGGAGATAACAAACTACTTTCGAGTGCTTACATCTTGCACTAAACATCAAGTAACGACGCGCTGCCGACAAATCTGCTTGTCAATAGATACTTACACATCGTCCTCTTGAAGATATTCTTTATTTTGAAGTGAGTAACAACAGATTTAGTTAAACTTTTGTAAACAAAGCTTTGTGAATTAAATACATTAAATTACAACGATGATCCAACGGGCCGCCTACTCCCGGTCATGACAAATATCAATTAAGTAATCAAGTCAGCCTCCAACGCCCCGAGTCCCGACGCACACATATACCGAACCACGCACCAATATCGCTCCCTAACGAAACGTTGGAATCACATACTAATTTCAATTCGATATACATGGCACGTTTGGTTCGGTGTAACACAATTTCTATAACTAGATTGTCAGCCATGTGGGTGCTCAAAGCAATCGGCTCCCGGTGAATTAATTTATGACGGTATAGATTGGATTCCCTGGGTTAGTTTTAGGTTTTGCGCGGATATTCGGCTAGTGAATATTGGCCGGTGGAAGCGACAAACGAAGTAAAATTCAATCGGAAAGCCGGGTTGTGTTACCGATAAAAGTGTCGCTCAGCTCCTGGATGATCTCAGGACGTGGGCCGATGTGATTGACTTTTCGTCGCACAGATGGTAAAATAAAAACCTAATCAGAGGCCCGGTTACAGAGATCCAAGCTGATAAATAAATGAATCAAGTATGATTGTTTTGAGTAGGAACTAAGTCATATATTGTTGTGCAGACTATGAACATAACTACTAATCGGACGTGTTGTGACGTAAACGATGCGTAATTTAGAGGGAATGAACCTCGAATGAACCTCAGCCCCGCGGCTGTGCATTGTGTGGCTCCCGCTGGCGGGCTGGCAGGGCGGCGGTGCACTCAGCCACATAGCCCGACTTGTGACTTGTTCCCGTCAATTGTCATTGTTGTCACTATCAATCATTCCACTCAACTAATAGACAAAGGAGTGTCCCAACTACTCACCACCAACAACGCAAGACAACTGTCTCTCAAACAATCCAAGTTCCAACAAACTCCGTAGAAATGAGGGTTTTGTTTAATTTCCATTTGTACCAACTGTCAAAACAAGTAAACTTGTATTTCAAACGATGATTTATTGCTTTCCCTCCTTTGACCTATTAGCTTGTTGTGACTTTACCTACAATAATATTTCAAAATTATTCTACAAATTATTATTTCACAATAAACACAAACAACAGAACTATTCAGGAAAAATTTACCTAAACTTGTGTAGGTACTTATCTAACTTTAATTTCAAAAGTTTTGTATTTGTACAATACACAGCAAAACTTAAGGGACTATTTTTATGCTCATTCAACTTCACTATGATACTAGTCGTTATTGGCCTAAGGTTAAAGCGCCAGCGTCTCGTGATTGAAGTTATGAGTTCCAAACGTGGCAAGTACCAGTGTAAATTTTTCTGAGTTATACACATAAATATGTACTTGTATACTTTCTAAGATCATTCAGACACCACTGGCAAACAGTGAAGTATAATATCGTGTGGTAACGTGGCCTAAAATTATTAATTATAAGGTTAAAGTCACCAATCTAGCTTCAGTAAGCGTGGTAATTCATGCTCAATACTTTTCCGGGTGAGAAGAGGCCTTTGTCAGGAATAGGGACTTATAAGCTGATGGTATAAAAACTTTTTGTATTGAAACTTTAGATAAAATACCTAATTTAGTAAAATGACAATAGATGCACCGTGCCTTAAGAGAAACCTTTCAGTACCTAATTGCTTCCTACTTATCTACTGTTGAAATGACAATAGTGCTAATACCGATGGTATTACACTGATCTAGGTGATTCATTGATATACCTATTGTCTCTACAAAGACCGTCACCAGGGATACAACAGTACAGACCCAGCTTAGGTAAGCTTCATGTAGCTATCTACATATTATCGTATATCCAATGATGAATGATCACTTCGAATCGAGAATAAGAACGGAAATTGTTAATTATGAAGAAAATTTAAGCAAAACAAAACAATAATTTCTAATTCCACACAAGTCGGATAAAAGGCCCACCAATTCTAACGATCAATTTGTGTTGTTAAGTTAAATAAAAAAAAGCATTTGCACAGATAAAATATCCAAGTCAGTGGCTCCATGATAAACTCGTCGCGTACTCAACTCAAGTCTCAATTCTGTAATAATTGTGTTACGTCGCCGAGCCTACTTGTCAATTAGTCGACGCTAAAGATATTAACACTGTATGTAATCAAAGTTGCAAGCGTTGCTTGTTCAATTGGAATTGCCGATTAGAACCGCTGTCTCTAATATTTAATGATAGCCCAGTATTGTTTCTAATACTCTCGGTCGAAACTCGAATATTAATGTTGCGCGCCGTTTTCAACACTATAACTGATGATTAAACTTTAATGATAATTTAATCGCATACAATAATTAAATGGGCACCGAATACCCGCACACTCTACTGAGCACGCCGTAAAACTTAATTGGGGGCAGAATATACGGAAACAGCGAATATTGTTATTAACAGGATCCTTTGAACATTTGCCTGAACCCGAGCAGGGTAGCAGGCTATTTGAGAAGTCTAGCGTTGGACTAAGTGACAATAACGTGGAGAAAACATCAACAAGGGAGAGGTAACAAGCCCTGCACTCGCGACACGCCGCGTGCGTGCTGCCGACACGCGGCCCGCGACTGTCATCTGATGTTGTTTGTTATTGCCACAGTTGGCGAGTGCAGGCGCTCGTTATCCAGCTTCCACTCTCCTCTCATATCTTCTGATCCACGCCACTGTCAAGGAAGCCATTGCGAATGAACAATAGCGAATGTATATTTTTCTACATATGTGTATCTTTTTGTTGTACATTTCTTTTCCTTTTTGCGTCATTTATTCCTTCCTTTCAGGGCCGACTCATCGAACGAAGCGCCCGTGGCCAATGGACTGACCGAATTCGGAGAGGTAAGCGAATTTCAACCTTTTTGTTTATAAAATAAGAGCTACGCGAGAGTCTGTTTGCAAGGCCACTGTTAATATGGAAGGATGAAAATGCCGATTTGTTTTGTAAGGAATGTTGGAATTATGTTCGGAGTAGGCTGAGTAGAAAGATACGTGGTAGCCCTGTAAGGATATTGATCGCGGTAGCCGCTGGCGGGACCCTCCGTAGTACTGTGTTAGTATCTCAACAATGGGTTTACAATTAAAAAAGGAGACCAAATAATTTTCCGAAATAAAATAAAAAGTTTAAATCGAAAGGCTCTCACAATCTGTCGCCTAACTGTTCACTATACGTCATTAATAGAAGTGCTCAGTATGCAGTACAATATAAATTGGCCGGTGCAACAATGCTCCCAGTAACAAAAGCTGACCTTTTATAAATTCACACAGTCAGTCGTGTACCTTTGAACAGTAAATACAGGGCATTGTGAGAACTCCATGCATTCGTGAGATGACCGCGCGTGCCTCCTAACGATAACGTTAGCCGAATAAAGGGGGCAGAGCCTTAGGCTTTAGTTAGTGCATGTAGGGAACATGGAAGAGTGATAACTTGAATTCCAAACCTCCTTTGTATCAATATGAGCATGCCGAGAATTTGATTGAAGGTTTCACTTTAGAACTAGCTCAAACGGACGTAAATTGGACCTCTGTAGTGAATAGTTTCACTTTGTCTCCTCTACCACTATTGATTGCGGCCAATGAAGTTAGATAGCAGTGTTATTAGTCTGGCCATACTCCATAACTCACAAAACGAAGCTATGCAAGGGAAGACTGGAGGGCTTTTGCAACTAATGCAATATATCATTTAGTTTTACGTATATTTGTACAAATATATTTCCATAGTAATCTAATTTAAACTAAAATCAAACATGTTGGTACAAAAATAAACAAACATGAAATGCTTTCGTCGAATATCAATTAAAACAAAATGAATTTCTACATCCATTGATTAACTACAAAATAACCCATGACATATTAAACGAATATCATAGAAAGATTTTGTACCAAAATCCTGACGGAAAAAAGCGCTTTATTATGTAATCGTAAACGCTTGTTCACCAAACAGGATAACAAGGTTACTTCAAATCAAGAAACATTGACGAGGAGCAATCGTTTTTCATCGAACCTCATTTATTCCGCTATTCTGATGGAACCAGAAATGGAAATATAATCAGCAGTCTTTCAGCTTGCTTCTTATTTGCATATTATGAAACAGACTCCTTATTGCGCGGGTCGTTAACGTGGCTACAGAGCAAAGCAAGGGGTTCATCTCCTATTAGACAGGTCTCACAAAATGATTGGCTTAAGTATATATACGAGGTGTGATATTATAAATTTGTTATAAAATATTCACCAAGACCTCGCTTGAAAGCGCCTTGCTTACTTTAGTCTTGGGCCCTAAAACAACGCCCTGGGAATTCCAGTCATGTTTTTGGTCCGTGCAAACTCGGCATCACGTTGATGATTCGGGCGGCCGTTCGTGTAATTAGAACGGAATCCCCCTTGTTTCTTATTGCTGCCGTGATGTTAGGGTTGCCTTACAAACATATATTACAGTACAATATGTTATGATAGCTTTCGGCGAACATAACACATACACACATATTGTATTACATTTGATAGTGGCATATGCCTATAAATATACAGTAAACTGCAATGAAAATGGTCGTTTAAATGCAGCGCTTTGAATAAAATATTATCTAGTCAATCAACGTGACAGCTATCGCTATGTTACAATTTAGGAAGATGAATGAGTCGGTCAGACACCAGTGATGAATGGCATCAATTAAGTTGCTAGTTAATCGATTATCTATGTATCTACAAGTATAACTACGGGCCTACATTAATTCCATGTTAAACTTCACGCCATATTTAGCGTTGATCAGCATTTAGACTTGATTTATGAAACCAAAAAGAAATTTAAATACTTAATCATGATCATATTCTCTAGTCATTTTCAACGCTAATGTGGAAATTGCCATGTATATGTCACCGGAAAATAACAAGATCCGTAAGTTTATCAATTTACTAGGAAGTTTATAAACTTTCGTAAGATTCTAAACGGGAGATAAATTGTAATATTTTACGTCCACATTTTCGTAAATATAAATATTCTCCTTAAAAATCTTATCAATAAAAAGAGCTTACGTTCAATGAAATAAATATCATAATTGCGTCAAAGCACATTCATCGACCAACATAAAACTGTAAATAGTTTTATTAAATAAATAGCAGAGCTGACAGTTAAATACAAGCAATTAACTAACTAGTCTGTCGTGCTGCATTAAGGCGAAATTAAATTATCATTTTGAATAGTCCGGACGCGGGAATATTTCATAACATTTTTTAACATAAAAACTAGTTAACTCTTCTTTTCCTGTCTAGTCTTTCATTTATTGCCGTCATGTAGGCTTTTGGAATGTGAATTCACATTCATATTAATGTGGTCTGTACTCGATTTAATTTACTATTATAAAATAGGAAAAAAGCCCAAAGTTTGAGAAAGATCCTTTTTATAATTGTTATTTTTTACATTTTACTTATACTAGCTGGCTCAGCAAACATTGTTTTCACATTGAAATTATTTCGAAAAAAGAAATGTTTTTGGTTAACAAAAACAATCCTTATCACTTAGGGGTATGCAAAATAGCCATTCGATTCTCAGACCTACTGAATATGCAAATAAAGTTTGGTAAAAATCAGTAAACCGTTTGAAAGCAGTAAGGTATCCAGCATTGTGACATGAGAATTTTATACATGAGAGACATCAGTACAAGATCTTAATAGTAATCTTTATATTCAAACTATTGTATAAAGCCGCTTGAATTCAGCGAAACGTTATTCGAAACATAACGAGGGTGCAATCATTGCCTTTTACTGTTTGAAGTGTTCTCAGAGATCTCTTCTGGAAGGAGATCCGACATCCTGATGACACTTGCGATGCAAAACTGTAATTACGGCGCAAAACTTTCGAGAAGAGACGGTAACAAAATGAATTTTACGAAGACAATACTAGGGATCGCACTGAAGTGAGGAAATTGAAGTAAAGAAGTAGAAGACAGTTTGCGACAATAATGATTAATGATTCGCGCGCATTACAGCTAGGAAATATTTCTACAAATATTTTAAAATGAATAATGATTCAAGTAACTATATTTGGAAAGTATGGAAGTCTTCAAGTAACATAAGAGCCATCGTGTTAAGTATTTATAACATATAAAATCAAATCAATATATATAAAATAAAACAAATATTGGGACTGGTCAACTCGAGACTGTCTAAAGTTGCTGTCCCTGAGGGTTATTTCTTTTTCGGATACTTTGGTTAAACACTAGTGTTACACTGTTCTCACATAATGGAACTACCTAAATTATGTAACAATGCATTGTAAAAAGTGATTGAAAAAGAGTAACCATGGAGTTTCTTGCTCGTTCTTCTCCATAGGAATCTACACTTTGGAACGAGCAAATAGCTTCACTAGAGGACAGACGGACAGACTGACACATAAAGTTAAACCTTATGATATCTTTTTTGCTTGAGGTTCAAAAGTGCCTTTTTTGGTCTATTTGAAATAAAGAATTTGATTTGATTTGATTTGATTTGAATCAAAATATTTATATTTTCAGAATTTATTCACAAGAACATTTACATATTCACAGCTCGGTTGAATGCGTAGTGTTACTTAAATATTAACTATACAAGAACGTGCCTTACTATGTAGGTAACTTACAACTCAAAAGCATCAAATGGAACATCAATGTGTGGAAACTGTAACTGGAAGTGTAACAGTAATTACACATAAACATTATTATTTGCTACATAGTTGAAACAATGGCACTAAGTCATTTGTAACGCCAAGGAACTTAAGAACCTCTGCAAACAAATAAACTTTCCTCCTTCCAATGTGTTTAAAATGTAAGAGAAAGGAAAGAGGGGGAAATAATAACATTTCGCAGCAATGTCCCCACAACGCTTAAAATAATACTCGGGACTTTCTCGTCCTAAATACACAACGCGAGGGTAGTTTAAAAAGTCCAATGTTAATATTAGAAACAACTAGAAACTGAAACGCCGAAGGAGAACTTCGTTTACAACTTTTGTAGAGGATAGAACTTGCGGTACACCGGAGCTGTGGGCACCTGTACCTACGTATGTATCACCATAATATTATCCAACTCCTACCTTTGATAATCAAACATTTAATTTAGATTTACGAACGAAAATATATTCTTTTTTAAGAAATAAATGTTGTATATTTATTCGTTCGTATAGAACAAACGGAATGATGTTCAAAACATATAAAACAAAACGTTACAATGAAATCAGGTTGCTTTTTTATTCTAAGCGAGATATCGCCGTTCTCTGGTCCAATTTTAATTACTTATTTCTAACATTATTTTTAACGAAACAATGTCGATGATTCTCGATACTCTGCTTCGTTGAATAAAGTAATAAAACGATGTTACAATCAGAATAAGATTTACTGAAACTCCATCCAGTAATTAATTAGCATGGACAGCTCCATTAACGATAATATAGTTTTAATGGATGACGTGAAGCAGCTATCGGAGTCACTGGTCCTCGTAATTAAATATCGTGAAAGTGATAGCCTAATTGATTTATCACTAGTACTCAGAGCTTATCCTTACTTATTTCAGTACTTATAGTTAAACTGCATATAACTTTTTATTGTTACTAAGTTAGTAACTGTGTGTAGTTTTATATCTAGGCTTTCCCGGCTACCATATTTGCGCAGCTCTCACATTGTGTTCTTGGAAAAACGTCTGGACTTACACAACGACTTTAGAGATGTTTTTAAAGGTTGTCCAACTTAATCTCTTTATTTTAAACGAATTTGAAATGTGTAACAGATTTTTCGCTATGGTAAATGCAGTATGGCTCCCCAAAAATGACATAAAATGAAGAATAATGTGCGCACATTATAAGTGAGCCTCGCTGACGCTTGTACCATCGGCCGTACAATACCTAAATACATAACGATGATTTAGAGCGCTATTTAAATGTGACTAGGACGGGGTTTTTAAAATGGCTACCGAATATTTTAAGGGGAAGGTTCTCGCATCGAAATGTACACTGAATGAAATAGACACGTCAAGCCGAAATGAAAACTAGATATATGTGCCAAAGGTCTATAATTCTATGTACATACATGCTGAATAATTTTCAATTATAGATAGAGGTATTTTCAGAGATTTCGGCCATTATGGCTGTTTTTCTATTTTGTGAATTAAATTTCTGAGGAATCAGAATTCCAAATAAATCCATCCATCTATTCTGTATTTGGACCGTACTACACAGTATATAGACATATGGAGTACATACATAATAGATAAGAGTGGAAAACATAACCCATTGTTTATTGTCGTGGAGTCGGGCAATATAAACAAGAGATGAAGTAGACCGGACCATCTTATCGGTAGATCTCAAATTGAGGGCTCAAAACAAAACAAAGACCAGAAGATATCAAACACAAATAGGAAAGAAAATACTTCTGAACATGGCGCGTAATGCGAAAATATTTCATCCTCCCTGAATTATGATTAAGGGTTAAAATGCCACTGACATCCATTCGTTATCTTTTGTCTAGACCGAACATGAAATATCTGATGGCCTTGGAACAAAAGACTGCTTGTATCTGCAGACTGAGGTGAAAATATATTTTCATTTTCACAAGACAAATGGCAGAAAGTCTTGAAATTATAAACGACCTGTCACTATTATTCCCTGCTACATAGAAAAGGTTTCATTTGTGCTTGAAACTCGAAATTATACAGTTTTAATGTAAAATAATAAAAAATAAAAAATGTGTTCACAAAGGCAAGGTAATAAAGGTATTTTTGCTACTGAAACAAGACTGTAGCAAACGTTAAAATATTCCTTTAATTCAGAAGCTTTTATAAAAACCTAATTGAATAAACAAGCTCCATCAGGGAGCGCTGCCCATCCTGCAGACAGGCTGGAATGTGCGCCGTTAAACCTGTTATTGCAATTTGATTAAAACATGCAATCAAAATCCAGCGACGCGAAAGTATTCAACAGTATAAATGCATGAAGGACGCTCCACAAGCTACGCGCCGCCGCCGGTGCCGATACCAACGAGAACTTAATATCGAATCCGATCCGATACAGAATTCATTGCACTCGCATGAATAACATCGTCCCTGGTATCAGGAGCCGTAAATATTAAAATTGAAGTATGTGAACCTGTCTGTGGGGCCCCTACATTATGAGTATTAGATACGTGTTTCATCTATAATTGGCGTATTTGTATGTCCAATGTTTTGTGGACGCTACACTGATGCTAATAGCTAACTAATTAGAAAGAAGGTTTTAATATACATCATTATTTGACCATTACAAATGTATATACACATGATATGTACATGATTTAAACAAAAAACAGTCACAAAAACTGCAATGCTAGCGGCTAGCGATAAAATAAGAAAAATAATATGTATCAATGAACGCTTTGCAATTTTATTAATGCATTTTTTCATTTCGCATGTAAATAATCTCTTTTCCAATATGTTTGTCTACAGAAAGTGGTGCGCGAGATGAACAGGCTGGGTATGATCGTGGACCTGTCCCACGTGGGTGAGAACACCACCAGGGCTGCTATCCGATTGTCCCGGGCTCCCGTAGTCTTCACTCACTCTTCCGTCTACAGCCTCTGCAACCACAAACGCAACGTTCCTGATGACATCATCCACTCTCTGGTTCGTATACACCTACAAATATGACATGGCATTAAGAAGACTGATCACCTGATGGTAAACTATTGGCGCCGCCCAGAGCCCTGAAACAGAGTAGTTGCATTTGTAACTCCTGAATGCTTTTTTCAATATAATTATTGAAAACAATAAATTGTGATTCGACATTTCAGTTTCTTGTCGTTCTTTCATAAAAGTTACCTTTAACATGAGAGAACAAATAAACGAGCCAAAAATTACCGAGAAAAACTTCACTAACTCACAAGTTCTGAAGCATTGTGAACGTGTGTTGGCTATGTACTTTCAATACAAAATTAATGCTTTGTAAACGCTTATCTATGTTCTGTTTCAAAATATAGTGAAAGTCACGCATTCTGCCTCAGTCAGAGACTCCAGAATAAAAGTTTATATTAATGCAGAAACAATTTCAATTCTGCCTATTACATGCACATTAATAATATAGTAGCTCTCACGAGAATATTTGTTCGCAGAAAGAAAATGGCGGAATTATCATGGTGAATTTCTTCCCAGACTTCGTGAAGTGCGCCCCTAATGCTACCATCTCCGACGTCGCCGGTAAGGAGTGTACGATTGTTATTTTAAAAGATTTTTGTCTAGCACAACAAAATTATGTTCATTTTAGATATGCAATCTAAAAGTGTACTGTGTTTATAATGTAACTGGGATCAATATATGCTTTAGTGAATCTCTAACTTTTTTCTACTAGAATTAATAATTGAATTCAGTTCATTGAGAATGTAAACTTAATGCTCTCTTTATGTTGATACGGTCCACAGACGTACCAAGTCCGTATCAAGTAGGCGCATACATACGACACTGAGCTTGATATTTATAACGTCGTTACAGGGCTATTTCATTTACCTATCAGTGTAACAGCTCGCAGGCGGCCATTTACTAGAAGTTACAGTGATATAAGTCTGCTAATAAAACTATATTGTAGTGAACGTGTGGGAGAGTAGTGGAGTAGTGCCTCTAAAGCAGCCAATACGAATGCTAATAACACTGCAAATTAACTCATAAGCGTTCAATTTACATAATCATCGCATTAGAACCGCAACATGCTATTACATTACGAAACAAAGGTACGACTTAATTGCTCATTAAACCCACAGTTGGGCAAAGATTCCTACTAAGCTGAGAGCCGGGGGTAGGTACTGGTCGTGGACTATTGTGAAGGCGTAATTATTTTGTAATAGCTTGCTAGCTGAAGCGGGTGATATTGTCGAGAGTGCACCGTACTCGCGGCAAGTGCAATCTACATTATCTGTACAATAAGCCAGCTTTAAGTAAAATGTTCATCAAGTTCTTACCACTTCGGCAGCGTCGTTAGTGAATACTTTGTCTTGTTTCTTCTTTACTGCAATAAAACATTCTGGGCTATGAAATGGCACGCTGCAGCTATGCACATATATTAAGCGTAACGAACGTACACCGTGTCATGACTAACTACAGACATATAGATCAGTCGTTTCTATGCAAATCCAAGGCTATTAAAGAAGTTATGAACTGCACTTGCCTCTAGCTAGTCGTGCATTAGATCGAGAGTGCAGACGAGCTCGCGTGGATACATTTCGCGTCAACAATGAAACTAGCTATTAGTACCTACATTCATATCGATACAAGTATGGAAAGCGATTTGATTGATTACACTTACTGGTACTTACAAAACGATATAGTTTTGTTTTGAAGTATTAAAAATTTAAGTGAGGGAAGAATGGGTTATCTTGATCGGAGTGATACATGGGCCTCACAGAAGCCGGTCCTCTGTGAAGTAACTCTTAGGTTGTGTGATATAGTATTAGGAGTGTCCATCGGTGGCGCTGATGTGTCGACATATGACATTTAAAAAAATCAAATGAGAGCGAGTGTCTTATTAACTTCGACTGCACGGTTAGTGCGGTGACTGGGCAACGTGTCACGGGTTCGATTCCCGCACGGAACAACTCTTTATGTGATCCACAAATTGTTGTTCCGAGTCTGACTGTGATGTGTATGTGAAATTGTATGTTTGTAACCGCACCCACGACACAGGAGAAAATATAAGAGTGGGGCAACGTATTAATAAAAAAAAGTCTAGAATGTAAGGAATATTCTCCTGCCCCTATAACGCGGTACATCATAGCACCTTACGCATTTCTGGCTGCCAAAATAAAAACTTCGTCGTCCAAGATCTCTAAAGATTTCTTCCCGGGAAACTTACTACTTGAGTTAATAAATAATTCCATTCTATATACATCCACTTACTATATCTAGTCATATTTAAATGGATATTATTAATGATAAGGATTAACGCCGACAGCTATTATATTGATTGATAGTGTCATGGCGTCGATCATTATGCATTGTGATAGCTTGCCACTAGCTTTCGGGAGCCAAGGCATTATCACTATTATATTATAATCAATATCAAGTTCCTGTCGCAATTCAACTCTAATCAGTGCTGTGTTAGATGAAGTGATGTTTTCTTTTTTGAAAAAGACGGGATACGTATGAGTCTTCTGGTGTTGCGGATCTCCATGATTGACAGGGATAGCTAATCACCAATTAAATTCTTTTTTGCTTAAATCGAAAGTTGTTTGTACTTTCTGGTTGAACGAATACCTACTAGAAAATAAATGTGGGAGAGTCAAGCTCCGGAGTGATATCACGGTCTCACAGAAAACTAGCGTGAAACGACCACAGCCTTGTTAGTGAGGTTAACGGAGGCCCAATCCCGCCCCCTCTCCCCATCCCTTCCCAATCCTTAAATATCCGAAACTCTTATCCCCAAAAGGCCTGCACCGTACTTGTAACTCTTTTGGTGTTACGGGTGCCCATGGACAAAACCGATTGCTTACCATCAGTAAAAAAATAAAAAACTAAGAAGTCTCGGGTTTGATTAATGGGTTGATTTTGATACCACTTAACACTATTCAATCTGAGCTGTGAAAGTTTCGTTTCAGTGACCCTTTGCTATAATCAAACTGTTATGTTAATAATTATTCTTTAAACAGTACAATCATTCATTCTGGTATATTTTTATTTCAATTATAAACTAGAAATTCCCAGAAGTAAACTGCTCACTCGGAATAGAGCAATACGCCTTAGTACAACGATAGCCATCTGAAGAAGTACGAACACAACAAGGAGATATATCATTGTTTACGTATACATATATAATACAGACCTGGTGGCCGCACGATTTGTACGGAGATCTCCCGTGATTTATTCACCCGACTACTTGTACTCAGCCCGGAACTCCGGCCATCCTTGTACATACATACATGTAACTAGTAGCTGTTGTGATGTTTGTTGGTTTGTTTTATTCTTTGATCCTCATCGTCAGCCCATTAAAAGCCTGTTCCTAAGCTATGATGATTTAAAGAAGGTTCGGCCTCAATCTGTAAAATGTGTGCAAAGCTTCAGCCGACGTGAAACAACCACAGCATTTTCGTCGAGTGATTGGGGTTACCGGGGCCCAGACCTTCTCCCGACGCCTTTCATCCCTAATCCCTAAATTTCTGAAACCTTCATCTCCAAAAGGCCAGAAACGCACTTGTAACACTCTGGGGTTGCAGGAGTCGATTCGACGATTGATTACAATCAGGTAATTCTACGTCTGCGACTTGCCTACTGATCAATTAACAAAAATATTTTCACTGTTCTGCTAACTGCTTCTCGATAATTAATGTATATATAGCTTCTGAGTTAGTTCTTATTATACTCATAGAATGTGTAGCAGTCAGTACAAACATTTTGTTACTGGTATGCAAAGCCCACTAATTAACAACAATGGGAAACTATGCAAATCTCGGGCTCGCAACCGCTAAACAGAAACTATTCGAGAGGAATCCAATAAAATACAGACATAATGTACAGTACAAGGAAAACATGTTTAAATTATCTATGGATCACGTGGAGGTAAGCGAAATCTCCCTTGGACACCCGTAGCATCAAAAAACTAAAGCCGGCCTAGTAAAGTTTAGGAATTTGGCATAAAGTGAAAAACATTGGCAAAAAGCAACAAGCAATCCCATGATATTTCATCTAGCTAGGAATGATTTACTGCTATCATAGCATTCAGACATTCAGACAGAGATGGAATATACAAAGTTCAGGCAATCTTCCCGAGTTCTTAACAAGTCTAGAATCAAGTGTACAACTTAAATATTAGCTTGGATACTTAGTATTCCTCGGCTTAGTCTTGATAAACCGTCCGTAGCGTCTGCTGTCTTTTATAAGGACCATTAGAAGTTTAATAAATTAATAATATGAAACACGTTAAAAATGTCTTTGTAAATGAATTGGGATTGAAATTAAAATAAATAGTGTCGGGTTTGCTTTAAAAATAATGTGATAACTTAGTTACTTACCTCAATGAACTCAAGTGATTATAAATAAATAAGTGTGACAAGTGACAAGAATAAATAAATATATGTACAACAAACACTACATTGTAAGACTACAGCCACAATGCAATGGATGCTCTTCATACGTCATTCATCACTTGCCTTCTAGATAGCTCTTACACTGTCACCGTAGGCTCGAACTTTGTTTTATCGGATTCCATTCACCAAGATCTGGCTGGGAGGGAACGGTTCTTGTACAATACGGTACCGGCCCGTACACAACCAACTCTGTACGAGCCGCACCGGCGACGGACTCATGCACGGCCGAAGTTATTGTACTCCGCAACTATCCTCAGCGACCAGACTTTCGCCCATCCGGCCCGGTACGGCTCAAACTTGAAACTTACTCCGTATAAAGTCCTCCTCCGGAAACGATCCAATTTGAGAGGCGAAATGGCTGTTTTTGGTTTACAAAACCAGTTCTGTATAACGGGTGGATTGAAACTCGACTTGAATGGAGAAAACTATTTGGAACGGATTTAAAGTTTCACTATCAAACAAACCTACTAATTTATATATGAACTAGGTAGCACAACTCATTTGCACTATAGACGGTATGTTAAAAAAAAAAATTAAGTTGCTATCAAAAAACAACAAATTGATAGAAAGAGTATTTTTACTGATCGAAATTCTTCTCTAAAAACAATAACGAGTGCACGGTTGGTGCGTTGGCTGGGCAACTGGCTGCCGCGCAAAGTGTCGCGGGCTAGATTCCCGCACGGGACAACTGTTTGTGTGATCTACAAATTGTAGTTCCGGGTCTGGGTGTGATGTGTAGCGTACTAGGGTTTTGCTCCACAACACAGGAGAAAATCTGAGAGTGGGGCAACGTTTTTACAAAAAAATAACAGTCACAAATTCAAATACAATCCTACTTTCTAAAATACCAAATCGCTTGTTACAGTTGAAATTCCGTGACCGACCGACATGTGAAAGAGTCTGGGAAGACTTGCAGAGACTACGTACTTTTAATCTCCATTTCAATAGGCGCTTAAGTCCATTCGCATCCAACCGACTTTGTGGTCGAGTGCTGAAAGTCCCGCTTGTATTATTCAACTGTAAACCGGACGTTTCAGCAAATGTATTGCAGCTACGGCTGAATTGACGCAACTGTAGCTTGAAGGTTTATCCACAAGTTAATATTTAAGACATTATAATGATACATAAGTTTATTTTATTAACTACTAGCTTCTCTTGCACGGTTTTCCCCGCTGCTCGGCTCCACTTGATCGTAGCGTGATGTTTTATAGCCTATAGCACCCAGGAACATTGTACCTATCTATAAGTGAAGAATGGCTTTCTTTGAAATTGGTTTCAAATGATTTCTGTCGCTGCCTCGTCAGCATTATTTTTAAATTTTATTGAAATAAGTGGCTAACTTGTATTATTTTTACTTTCGTTAACAGAACATTTCCACTACATCAAACGTATGGTTGGCGCTGACTACGTCGGTATTGGCGGAGATTTTGATGGTGTTAACAGGTGAGGTGTAAAGCAAAGGCAATTCGAGTAATTGTTTCATATTAATTAAGCTCTTTATCATCGTCACTTCACCTATGTATATCACTGCACTAAGAAAATGTTTTATTTTCGGGACAAATATTAAGCAACTTATGTAGATTAGTCTTTTTTGGCTAAATTTTAAACTTGAGCCATCATTCTAGTCGAATATTTTTAAGTATAGTCTAAGTTAATGATTATCGACTTTCGTCCGACAGGGTCCCTCGTGGATTGGAGGACGTATCCCGCTACCCGGAACTGTTCGCAGAACTGCTGCGAAGTGGCCAGTGGACCGTGCAGGAGCTGAAGAACCTCGCTGGCCTTAACATGCTACGAGTTATGCGACAGGTTGAGAAGGTCAGTACATTTTGAACCAATGTTTCTTATTTTGAGGTGAAAAGCTATTGCGCCTGGTAAACGTCTTATGGTAAGCAGTGACAATAATAGGCTAATAGGTAAATGGCACATGAAGGGTAACTAGCCGTTGACGACTCTATAAAAGTAAGAGATATTAGATATTTTATGTCGTGCATTAACGTCACTGCATAAAACATATTATGTCTCTGCAACATTTCATAGGTACGTGCATCTTAGCAGGCCTGGAGAAATCTGACAGTTCCTCTCATCTCACCCAGGGCAATAGAAGAAATTTGATGATTTTCCCCACTCAAAAAAGAATGGCCTGCCAATTGTGGTACATCATGGTAAACGCGTTTGATTTAAAGGAGGAGGCATATATAGGTATATGTGATGCTTGCGTATCTCAGTGAATAATATTCTGCTGCAATTTAAAAAGTTACGGTAGAACTAATTCCTTAACCATTATAGTTTATCATTGTCAAAAACACCTCAGTAAGCAGCTAACGTGTAACAAGTTTGTGGTGCAAACTAGCCGCCCTTCGATATATAGGTTGTGTGACCTGAATGCTATTTGTGTACGACTTTTGACATGTAGAACGGAGATTCGAATTTTGGCCTTAACTAGATTGACCTGCATATCAGTATTTTACACGTATGCCTTCAAAATTTTCGTTCGTTGACAAACGTTGTGTATTTTTACGGTTAAGTTAACGAAAACCGGAAATTTTAATAACACATTTTCAGTTTAAAAATAAAATCTCGAAAATATTCACCAAGAATTTACACAATCTCGAATGTATAGCTCTCGAACAAAGCTATTTCAATTTTGGACAAGGCCCAGTTTCCAGGGTGGATGAACGTGTTGGAACATGTCAGCTGATGACATGTTATCTATGAGAGACTCAGGCAAGGACGGTGCAACCGGAATTACAACAGTGTTCGTGAATTAAGCTTCGATAGTAATATGTAAGATGGAGTAGGGGCTACCATCCTAATACCAGCACCTACGAGTTGATTGGAGAGAGAATACAATTGACTAACGTTGTATGGGGCACCGAGTTTATATTGCACGCTACCTGACTGCACGCCTGTAATTGCAGCCGGCTTTGATTTTGTGGCACATGGAACATATTGCTAGAGTGTGTTGAAGACCCTTTGAGTTCATGTTGCTCCGATTTTAATCGAATTTAATTGCTGGAAATTTTAGGGAAAAATTATATTTGATTATTTATTATGTAAATCTATACTAATATTATAAATGCGAATTCCGTCAAAGGAACTCTGTCTGTCTGTATTTTCTTCACGCCTAAAGTACTGAACCGACTAAACCGTACTAAAGTAGTTTGGAATACGAGAAAGGACATAGATTAGTTTTTATACCAAAAATCTGCAGAACATCACTATTATACGCACACGGAGTCGCGGGCAAAAGCTAGTATAATCTATATTCAAGCTGACACGCATAGAACAGATTTTTTTGTCAATGAAAAATCATCAAATGACTTCCTACACCTACTGACTAAAAATCCCCGTTTCTTCTCCTACTCAGGGCCGAACGCATAGGACAGCTTGGTAATGCGATTTAGGTATTAGGATTTTTCATTATGTTGTAAGTGTGGTTACAAAAACACACACTTGCGTAAACGTTATACACAGATCCAGAACAACAATTTGTGTCACACAAAGAATTGGTGTAGGCTCAGCTCGCCCCTTGGATCTCGCCCCTGATTGCCTAAGTGCATCAACTCGCCCCTTAAATTATATTATTAGATACTCCAACTCGCCCCCGATTGTTGGTTAGTTAAAAGTACTGTCAGAACTCTAAGTAAAATATTTAAATGAATATTTTTTCTTTAAACTTCAATAATGGTCCCATAAAAGGTCCCTTTTGTTACAGTAGGTAAGCCAGGTAATAAAACTATCACAAGTGGTTAAATTACTTACCAGTTTTGTTTACTATACATTTTTCTGAATATACCTTTTTTAGTTAAATTTCAAAGGGAATGCCGTAAGGGGCGAGTCGATGCATCAAAATAATTATTTAATTGTTAAATTTTTCACTCGCCCCGTAAGGGTTTTCATAAGGGGCGAACCACAACTCCAAATTAATAAAAAACGGGGCGAGTGGAACGTTTTAATCGGAAGGGGCAAGATCCAGGGGGCGAGCTGATACTACACCAAAGAATTGTGCCGAGCGGAAATCGAACCAACAAATTGTGGATCTGAAAGTGATGTGTGACATTGAATTGTAAACGGACCTTGAAATGTAAACTTTACAATGACCCAATGAATATTGTACCTTATTCTCATTATTATACCTAACAGTAAGGAAAACACAATGTGGTATAGTTATACCTAAGTATATGTGGAATGATAACAAGCACACGTGCATTGTGCACGGCGTGTCTTAACATGTGGCAATACAATGCTGACCACGACCTACAACATATAGATGTAGGATTTCAATAACAATACATGGATGTGCCAATTGCCAATTACTTACACCATCTCATCAGTTACACTAATAGAACATGAATGTCGTTGGATCTAAGGCCTGAGTCAGGTTTGCCAGGAGCTCCGCACTTGGATTAGAGAAGGCAGTTCCAAATCGTGTCAGAGACCACTGTTCTTGTAAAATATGTTCTTTTTGATCGTCTTTTCGCGCTTTGTTTGTTCTCCTTAGAAATGAGGTGCCAACTTACCTAAATCCAGCCAGATAGAGAGTCACTATCGTAGTCTATGGTTCACAAAATTAGATGTGTGTTCTTTAACCTCTCACTTATAGGTACTAATAATCCTTACATTATGATATACTGGATTTTCGACTACTTAATATAGATACTCGATACATTCGCATGTTACATCCAGGTACACTTTTTATGGTTAGCAATCAGCGCCGCCCATGGGCACTCGTAGTACGAAAGAAGTTTATTATAAGAGAATTACCGTTCTCTTGTGGGTTATTAGGGATTTAACTAAGGATGCTTCACGCCGGCCGGCACATTCGTGTCGAAGCATGGTTCTCCTTTGAAACACTTGAACAGTTTGGACAAATCGAAAGAGCTACCACTGCTATGATTGTATTAATCCTTTATTTGTCGACTACACACATGTAACTCGCCTTCGCCCTATGCTTTTAAAAAATGTTTTATGTCAGGAGGCCGCAAAAGACTAGAGAATAACTTTTACCTTTTGACCAATCATGCGAAGTTACTATTAATGCAGCAATACTTAAATCGTCCTCATTTGTGCAGGTCCGTGATGAGATGCGCACCAACGGCGTGGAACCGGAGGAACACCCCGACTCCCCCAACGACAACGGAAATTGCACAAGCAACGCCTTCTATACCGAATACGTGTAGATTGACCCCATACCACACACGACTGCACATTCCAACTTTATTTCTATTAAAAGAGAATCGAAAGTTGCCTGTCAATTCAACGATTTACTTATAGCAATTGAGAGAAATCAAAATAAACTACATTGTATCGTTTAATTGATAAGCCTCTGTATAAGAAATGTTTTTCAAAATTGGAATATATGGTAAACTACAGGCATTTTTTGTGCAAAATATAGAAATGTATTTGCAATGTGCAGCCGCGGCCGTACCGTCACTGGACCGTGAGTTCAATCCGACAGTTTGATTCCAATTGATGCGTGTTTAACATGATAAATGTCGTTGTATCAATAAGCGAACCTCCACACTTGTACCGGTGTATACTAAACCCAGCGAGCGCTTTGTCAACCATTGACATTTTCATTTTATTTCAATTGAATGCAATTTAACCATCAACAACACAAACAAATCATCGGATAAAACAAATTCATATAAATTACTTTGAAAATTAGAGCGATTCCATTGAAAATAATTACTAATTCATTCGTTATAATCTGTCTTATTATAATAATAATTAATGCAATTTATACAATTTCGATAACGTTAATTTAAACGATTTGCTGTTTTATCCGATCACAATATTGTACTAAATTTACGAGTAAACAAAATTATGAATACATTGCATTACATTCGGCAATTATTACAGTGGAGTACATTCGTGAGTACCCGAACAAGTGTGGATAGTCTGTAACCGATGACGTAATCACGTCGATATGTGTCTGTTTAGTTATTATTCAAAGTAACTGTTGTCATATTTCACGAGCGGCTGGCTGCGGGACTTTATGTAGCAATGAATTCACCTCACAGATACATCGAACTTGATTTTATGAACCCGAACGACAAAAGCATTTCAATTTACACGAAACGATTCAATAAATAATGCAAGCGACGAGCCTTTGAAAGTTTATAACAAGAGAGATCCAACTTTACAGTTTAAAGTTCATAAATTCATCGGAGCACAGATCTGAACCAGGCGCAAGATCTCTTTATTACAGCTGCTGAGACGTTTAAGACAATTAAGCGAATTAAGTGCAAGTAAGACTTAAGTTGCATTCAACTGAATCTCGTTTTATTTTCAAACTTAACTGAAAAATGGGGCAAACGTTTAAACTATGAATAAATGCATAAAACTTACATTTAATGGGAACTTTTTGCGTATATTTGCATATCGTTAGCTCGAGCTCCGGCTTACTTTGTGCGAATGTAGGGAGAGATGACGGACGCTATAGTACAAGCACCACGCGTCAGTGAGTACCGCCGCAGGTCTGTTAGAGTAAGCCCCCCGCCTGCGGCCCACTCAGTTTCCAATTTCACTTCGATCCAATTATTCGAAATCATGGCGATCGGGAATCAACCAAATCCAATTTACTAGTAAATTAGCTGCTATTAAATGTACTAGCTAATATTGCACCAACTTGAATACGATAATACACGTACATCAGCGGTTGCCATTTCCAAATATAAATTTAAACGCCATTTAGAATTCCTCTCAGTCAAGTTAATCCAAACTAAAGCAGAGTATATTGACTGTATCGCCAATATTGTAACCAATGAATCATATAACCACTAACCGAACCGCATTTTAATAAAAACTGCCGCCAATTTAATGTTCAACCAATCATTTCGGTTCGACTCATCCAACTTCATATTTCGAATAAACAATTGAAATTTTAATGATTGGAAGTTTGTCTCAGAGAGGTTTGGCTCCGAGCGATGACAAGTTTACTCCAATATTAGCCGGTGCCAAGTAAGTTGGTCGCGAGAGCTTAACAAGGTCTAGCGAGAACGTCTTGCTGCCACACTCTGGGAGGGCCGCGCTCCGTAGTTGGGCTGTGTGTCTCCGCGGGCGCTGCTTGTTGGCAACACGTCGCACGTGAAACATGGCGACAGTTTGTGTGTCGTAACTGTTTAGATAATCAAAATATATGTCATGTAATTAATGTTGTAGCTGCATGGTAGATGTAACATTGTGAACTGTGCACTTCTTCCTTCTTTACAACTAAGCTGATTGTGTTCACATATCACTCCCCCCTTTCACCCCCACTCTTTCTGATAATACGACTTCTGTGTCCCTTATGTTCTCCTTCTCTTTTCCTAAGGTTGCATTATCAGGAGAGTAAATTAGATAGAGAACTCAAAATTGGAATTAAATGGAAGGCTCTAGTGCGAGAGAAGTAAACTAACTGGGTAAATAGAGAAATATAACAAAATATTTTATTTTACTATTGTAATTTAAAATAAAAATAAAAGGTTCGATCTAGGAACGTAGGTAGAAAATTAAATTTGTAAAAAAATTTACTAAATGAAAAACGTAACGTTTGTTTTACAACGTCGGGTATTATATTGTTTCTTGTTACTTATTACTTACATTCCCAATGAGGAATTCAAAGTTCCTTGTATGTTCACGGAAGCGTACGGGGCGAACTGTCAGCGTTCTGACGCAGTATGAGTTTGTTATGGGTTCGTTCTCTTCGTTGTTATATAACGTAATATTTTGTAGTTTACTTGTAATTAATATAACTAAGTTAACATATTTTTACATGGACGGTATGTGAAGATGTCGTGTTGCCGATCATTTTATGTTCCACGTCTTTCGGACGAGAGTGAACGAGGCTTTGCGAGCGAGTGACGGCGGTGTGAGCTCGGCTGCCGACACGGACCGGCTCCTGTGCTCACATCGCACATCATTTTCGCTTTCAAGTTTGCAAGCATTAAATGCGAGCGGATCAGAGCTGAGCTGAATGAGAGCACAAAGCCTCGAGTCGCCGGACTCGCGCCGGACGCGGCAATTGTCCGGGAAGCGTCGGAGCCCATCCGACACTGTCCGACTATGTAAGCTAAAAGCTAGTATACAATGTAGCGTAAGGTCTAAACTTGTGATGGAGATCGTTGTGCCAAAAATGACCTAAACTTTTTATAACTTCTTACACAGTTTGATATTAAAACTGTAACTTTCATTTTCTTTTATAATTTTGTAGTAAAATGGCTTCCAGTGCCACGAGGAGGAAACGAATAACTTATGTAACCTAGACTTGAGTTGATTTGTCATTCGGACAATAATACCATCCACTTTAAATGAAATGCTGTGAATTTCTCGATGTATATTTAAATATATAACTTTAATATATGATGTGAAAGAACGACTATTTCTTATAAATTGTGACTGAACGTTTTTTGAACCTATACTCAACTATAAACTAAGGATTTTCGTCTAAAATCTGGCTGTTATTTTGTGGTTCTTTTATCTATTTTACATACAGTCATGTAATCAAGCGCACAGTCGGTACTTACTGGCACCTATGTCATGCTGACAGAGCAATAGCTGGGCACTGAGCACGGACAATGCGTCGCTGGAACTAGTGGCGAGCACAGTGACGCGAGCGCGCCATTACAAGCGGCCGCGGTACAATACGATTAGATTTCTATTGTTAAAAGACTAGAACGAAATGTCCCAAATGTAACACACCTATACATAATATAATACGAGCTTGAAACCGAATTCCCGACGTGTGCGCTTGAGCCGAGTTGTGTGGCGCGTTGCTGCGTGTTCAGCTCGACTGACACTATCACTGTTTACTTGCTTATACATACCCCCCCTCCCCCTCCGACCCTCTGAAGCCTGTATTACTTCGGAGGGCCTCATCACTTCCTTCACTGTCTTCCCCGTTTAGCAAAGCGCCAGGCAACTGTATACTGGACTATTTATATATTTATTACACTTGATAACCAATAAACACGTTTGCTGTAATCTAAGTTTTTGTTTTATTTTATTGAATCCCCTTTTATATAGCAGTAAGGATGTAAACATAAAGAAAATAACTGAACAAAAATATTATTTGTATTCAAATACATATAAGGAAGTGCCGTGGTATTCTAACCATGACTGCGGATCAAAGGGTTTATCAGCATCGCACGATCTATAACACAGACTACAATATTCGTACATGGACAAAAATATTCAATATAGATACAGTATTTGTTCTAAAAAGCTATATGAAAAAAACCAATTGAAAACATTGTACAATTTTTATTTGAACTGCAATATTCTCAAAATAAATGCATACCGGGGCTGGGTGCGGTCACTGCGTATTTCGAAGAGATAAACTTGAAAAAAGTATTGTCTAAAAGCAAACGATAATGAAAGATAGCAGTGAGTCAGACTGCAGCAGCCCGCCGGCCTTACTCGCAACAGGATCACACTCTTTTATTTCGTGCAGGTCTCGTGTTCACAGGAGATTATCGCACGCCGCTTTGCACGCCTCCAATGTTCCGATATTTATCTACTAATTAAATGGGGTACTGTAGTAATTTCACTCATAAATTAATTCAAACATTTTACATAATAAATGCACAATCAGTGGAACGGTTAACGGTAACCTCAAACAAAGCCCCAAAGGGTTTATTGAAACCTTTTGTCAAACAATTAAACTATTGCTTATAGTTCGGGTTAAGTGAATTAATAACTTTTATAATATTGACGGGGCGATGATGTAAACCAATCATCATTATGCTTGTTAGGTCGTGAAGGCTGAATCTTATTTCATTGTTAAAGTCGGAAAGAGACTTTAGAGATTTTATTTTTCATTTTCGGATTATTTCAGGTATCAAACCTCATATAAATATAAACAATACTTCACTTACAACATACTATAAAAATATATCTGTAGCAAAATTAACTAATGAATGAATGAAAACTTAGTTAACGCCTCATGCATCGTGCCTAGAGCTACAAATAATGTAGGATCAATGTTATTTCGTAGCTTAATCATTTGGGATACGAGAGCAACTAAAATGCGAGGCAATTACAAATAGTCAGACGAAAATAAAAAACGTGGTACATCGTGGGATGGATGGCTGGCTCCGGCCACAGCTCGCCCACAAGGGGCTGCCAAGAGCTTCGAATGAAAATTAAATGAACATACAACGAACGCTCTGCTCCCCGACCAGCATGCAGGGCTCTAACCCCTCGACCTTCAGCTGCAGACATTCTGACCTAAAAAAAGAACATTTCGCTATCATACAGCTATTTGATAAACAATACAAATAACCAATATTGAAAGAAGAAAATTATAAAATGAAAGCACATAAAAAGTAGCAAAACAAATGAAAATGTTCTGCCAATTTCATTTGATTGAAAATTCTTGTATTCATACATATACACCAAAAACTACTAGTGTCAATTTGTACACGTATTTATATAAACGCTAGTAATAAATATTTAAATACAATAAATCTGTCAGTTTGTCCAATTACAATGTTTAAACAGTGTCGGCGAGGGCCAACAATCCGTTTGCTGGCTGCTGATTTAACTGACGAACGCCGAACACACAGAAGTTGCGTTAAATTAAATGATATTTACTTATTATTACATTATTTAAACTGTTAAGTAATTACTCAAGTTGTTTTATTTACTTTATAAGTCATACATTCAGCAATTTTATTGCTTAATAAGTAATTAACACACATGAAGACAAATCATAATAGGGCTAGAGAGGCCTGTATCCAGCTGTGGACAAAATCAGGCTGATAATGATGATGATCCCCCATCCCTTTTCAACCCTTATCCCCAAAAGGCCGGTCACACACTCGTTGCTTCTTGGGTGTTGCGGGTGTCCATGGGCGCCACCGATTGCTTATCATCAAGTAATCCGTCTGTTCGTTTGCCGACCTATATATCCAATAACAAAAATATAATGATGATGAAGACAAAAAGGTTAAGTACATATTATTATACCTATATTCGTAGAGTCAATTCATATACACCTACAATAAATCTATTGTCGAACATTTCAAACATTTGACACCATTCAGTAAACTCAATGCTCAGTTGGACGCTGACATAATTATGCCAAATGGAAGTCGATTTCATACACCAAGCTTTCTATTGCCTCCGACGACTAATGCATGTAGGGCATAGCATAGGCTTCATACTAGCAACAATACTGTTTCAAAATTCAAATAAAGCTTTACTCCGAATTCAAATATAACCTATTGACATGTCAACAGCCCACAAGCTCACAACTAATCGACAAATAGGTCAGACACGTCAGATCACATCACATCGCTTATAAGTGCCCACTACCAAGCAAAGGCCACGGAAAAGGTTTGAGCTTTAATCGCCAAAATTGCTCAAGGCGTATTGGTACTTCAAACTTATAATTAGAAATTATAAGTCCAGGTTTTCCCACGATGTTTTCTTCACAGTATATCGCCATTGGTCTTGTAAACGCACCCCTCATGCATAAAGAGTGGATGCTTTGACCTCCGGACCATGTAAGCCAGACACGTAAGTTACACTTATTCCGTGGCCTACTTACTTTTTTGCTACTATTGCTACTAACTAATAGCAATTTGTTCTTTCTTATCAAAAAAGTTAAACAAAAAGCCACAACAACATGTGTCCAGCCGATAGTTTCTCACGCACAAAGGGACGGAAATTCCATTAATCTTCACTTCCGCGCAATGTGTAACTCACTACGTATTAGACATATTTTGTAAATATATCACAACACTTATATGTCGTGGTGACTTGAAAATGAAGATGGGTAACGACTTAATAAACAGGTCCATCAGTGCCACCTGAAAACGACCATCAAACAGAAATGCAGCAATTGTGGATATTTGCTCGGGAGGGGATTATTCCTGGTGCTGAAGAAGCTGCTACTTGAAACAGTGTTTATGCAGATATATTTAGGATTTAACTAAATTAGTTTTTTTGTTTATTTCGTACAGGGTAAGCATTTGGCCGCTATCGCGCCTGGTGGAAAGCGATAATGCTACCTACGATGGAGCATGCCAACCCATAAGCAACTTATTCACTTGGACCATGAAAAAGATACCATAATACAAAATCTATGGTACACTTCGGGAAACACAGAGTCCGCAAAATAATTATAAAACTGCAGACGAACTGCGTCGTGCGTCTACAAATTAACTATTTTCAGTATTTGTTAGCTCTAGATGAATTTGCTCGTTGTAGCCTGGGCTGAGGCGCCATGCACACATAAATGTCCAACGCTCGATGACGCTTTGTGTTGAGTTGATCCGTCCCCAACAAAATGGTTCATCGGAGCAATTGCTGAAACAATGGTCGGCTCTCCCAGTGTGTTGGTGCGCTGATTTAGTAGATCCGTCAAGAAATGTCAATATATAAATAACTTAAATATTATTTATGTTCGACAAGGGCCCAGACCACACTTATGAACAGCGAAAAGTTTTATTTTCGCAAATATTTCTTTTGATCGTGATGTAGCATGCAATAACATTGCGCTTCGTAATGTAATCATGGCTCCGCCGCGCCATGGCTGCGCTGAGAGGCGGCCGCGCTCGCTACAATCAATCGCCTAAATTGACAGCTCTCTAAGGAGACAGCCCACATTGAAATTTCACAGTAAAATTGCTCGCATTTAGAATATAGTTAGGTCACAGCATCATTACTATGACTAAATAGACGACTAAATATTTTTCGCTTCGGTTTGGTCGGCAAAAAAGCAAACGGATATCCTGATGGTAAGCAATCGGCCCTGCCGCATGGATAACCCGTAACAGGAGTAACGAGTGCGTTGCCGACTTTTTGGGGTTTAGGGATTTCGAGATTCAGGGATGGGTAGGGGAAGGATGGGCCTCCGGTAACCTCACTCACACGGCGAAAGACAACTTTTTCGCTGGTTTTGTGAGACACTGACGACAAGTATGACATTAAAAGAGCAGCAATACTCCACGGTAAGCCTTGCCTTAATTAAGTTTCAAACAACGATTACTGTCAAACATGTAGATTATAAAAAACAATCTACATATTGTAGTGGTTACATACCCCATGCAATATACATATTATACACAATAACAGAATGTTGCCATTTTCTTTAAATTTGCGAATCATCATAAATGTGTAAGGAAATGAAGAAGGAAATATTGTAATTTTACGTGACAAATTATTTTTAATGGAATTGAAAAAATGATTTTGAAAACGATCAACTTACTTTGAAAACTACTTATATCTTACGAGGATGTGAATGTTTCAGAAACTTACATTGAAAGTTCACGTGGTAAAATTTATATTTTCAAACAATGGTTTACATCACAGACTATTTTCTCAGGTGTTTTATAAAATAAAATAGGTTTGTACGATATAATGGAGATTAATGAATTCTGGTTATTTAATCAAAATGCTATTGTATATGCTAGTCCATATTGTGTAATTACAACTAGGTACCCAAAAATGTGTTACGTAAGCGTGACACACTCACACATTAAAATTGCTCTGAAAATTTCGCCTTGTATGTGTGCTCGTAATCAGGTGAGTCAGCACTAACTGAAAGGTTGAAGACCTCAATTATTTATTACCGCTACAATTTTCAGGCCATTTCAACAAGATAATACTAACACTTAAAATACTTTCTCGAGCGTCCCGGCGTAGCGCTCGTAGCAGTTGTAACTCACACGAGCTACGCCGTAGCATGGTCGTAGCTTATTCTTTATAATGGCAACAACTAAATTATATTTGTTTCGTTTTTCTCAACGTATCCTCCTAAAACACCTTACATTATATCAAATCAAAGTTGAATTAGTACGAGATGCACATATCACATAAAACACGGTAGTAACTTTATATTTGTTTCATCAAAAGCCGGCTGTAATCATGAATCTCGCGTGTCTTAAGTTTAGCGAAACCTGCGTAAGCCGCAGCCCGCTCCCCGAGTTGAGTACACAAAGTTAACTAGTGCATCAGCTGAGTGCACACGTATTATGAACTCGGTTTAACATTTCCAAGCGGTTATATTTCAGGGAACTTACATTCTCAATTAGAAGTTTTAAATATTGTGTTTCATTTTTAACCATTTATTAATAAGGTATTATACGCCCACATACACTCGCAAGAATGGATGAGTTACGAGTAAGTTGGCAACCTTTTGGGGTTTAAGGTTTTGGAGATTTTGGGATTGCGAAGCGGAAGCATCCGGCCAGCGTTCTCCTCACATACACGTCGAAACACAACGCTGTGGTTGTTTAACGCTGTTTTCTGTGAGGCCGTGGTATCACTCCGGTCGAGCCGATACATCCATGCCGAAGCTTGACTGTTGCTCAAAATTGTTTGACGTGATAATAATTTGAAGATATAATGGTGTGTTGTAACATGAGGAAGTACATACGATATTATAGAATATACAAACAAACAAGACCCAAAAAAGCCCACCTTCTGCAAATTCTCTGTAATTGCAGGTGTCCCTGATTTGTACCTTACCACCAGATGGCCCATTTAATCGTCTGCCAACCCAGTACCAAGTCGAAAAAACCATGCAAAAAACTACAGATTTTTACAGTTACCTCTATCAGTTTATGATTCTATACGATATTTGAAGTGAGATTTAGATAGTTGTGTTTTTTATGTAAACTAAAAACGAATTTACGAATTTGAAAGGGCTTCAATTTTTTAACAAATAAATTAAGTTCGTATTTGCAAAAATTAATTCCGAGAATACTTGAATATTATTTAAGTTGTTTGCGTTGTTTTTATCCGTTTCAAGTTTTACAGAAATTTTTTATTAGTAGTAGTTTAATTAACCTAAAATTTGTTTTTTTTTTAGGTATTACAACTTTGTTTATTAGGACGGCAAACGAACTGACGGATTACCTGATGGAACTCCGTTTTTCGTAACTACGAATACGTTGCCGACCTTTTGTGAATTAGGGTTTTGGTGATTTAGGGATTGGGGGAGAGAAAGGATTTGGCTTCCGGTGACCTCTTTCAAACGGCGAAACAACGCTGTAATTGTTTCCCACCGGTTTTCTATGAAGCCGTGGTATAACTCCGATCGAGTCAACCCGTCGCACCGAAGCATAGCTCTCCAGCACTTAGATCTAGCCAAAGCTGCACACTATGCTATGCTCCTAGAAATTTATTTAAATGACTTAAAAACAAAAGTGAATTGTATTTGTATAAGTGATCACTTCTTAAATGAAATCCAAATATCACAATTACAGATGACT